TTGAGAGTATTATCAGAGATGCCGCGATGGAACATCTACTACGAAAAACCTTGTAAAGGATTGCCTACACGGTTTTATGCCAGGGCGGTCATACTTAACACAATTGCTCAAGGTACTGGATATTTGGACCCATATTCTGGAACGGGGTGGTAATATCGACAATATTTACATAGATTTTGCCAAGGCTTTCGACAGTGCACCCCAAGGAAGGCTGAAAATCAAACTGGAAGGGTACGGAATTCGGGGAAATGTCCCAGCGTGGATAGAAAACATGACCGCAAGCAGTGTGTGGTGACTAATGGCACGAGATCATCATCAGTACCCGTCACAAGTCGGGTACCACAGGGCAGTGTATTGGGCCAGCTGTTGTTTGTTTGTTTCATAAATGACATGCCTGACGTTGTACACTCATCCATACAAATGTTTGTCAATGACGCCAAGTTACTTCGGGAAATCAAGAACCAAGCAGACTGTGAAGAGCTGCAGAAGGTCCTCTGTGGACTCCAAGAATGGTCCAAGAAATGGCTGCTGAGATTCAATGTCACGAAGTGTAAGAGGATGCACCTGGGGCGTACCAACGGGATGAAGAAACTGCACTATTTGCGACTGAATGTGAGAATGACCTAGGTGTGTATGTTGACAATGAGCTGAAGTTCTCGGGCCATTGCGAGAAGAAGGTAAATCAGGCAAATAAATTATTGGGTCTTATAAGAAGGTCGTTCAGATATCTAGACGGTCCGTCCCTCGTAACGATCTTCAAGAGTGAAGTGCTTCCCCATCTGGAGTACTGTCACCCTGTCTGGTCCCCAAGATATGCTAGGGACTGTCAGTTGGTTGAAAATTTTCAAAGGAGGGCCACAAAACTGGTGTCTGCACTTTGGCACCTCAGCTACCCTGAGAGATTGGAGCGCCTGAACTTGCCTAGCTTATACTACAGACAGGCAAGGGGTGACCTAATTGAGGTGTATAAGCATCTCAAGGGGCATTACTCAGTCGAGTGTCCTTACTTGGAGCTGGCGGACACTCGTCCCACAGGGGGTCACAGCTCAGGATTGAAGAAGCCACAAGTCCAGAAAACCGTGAGGGCAAACTTTTTCGGAGTGAGGGTTGTGAAAGTGTTATGACGGCACCGAGTGTGACCTCTTTCAAGACAAGACTTAACCAACACTGGAGCAGATTCAGGTACATTCAGGAGCCGGTGGATGCCCAGTACTTGCCAACAGTGCGTAACAGAGACGTGACCAATCGCCCAAGCAGCTAACGAGCCAATCAGTGGTGAAGAGGATAAAAGTAAGTAAAAAAACAAGAAGTAAAATATTGTACCTAAACTCACTTTCCCCTTAGCAGGATGGTTTCAGTGGTTCCTCAACCCTATTCCTTATTTTCCCATTTCTTAATGGATTAAATGGATTCATGACTGCAATTTTATAACTACTGTGCATAACAATTAAGGGATGCAACCCCGCATAACAATAAGAGTTCACTATATCAACACAGTGCAGTATTCAAATCACCCAGTATCCACTCTCTACACACCGCAATGCTGCCCACACACATTACAGCTTATCTGCTCACTATATACATGGACAGTCCTTCAATATAACTTCCTAAAAGACCTGTTGCTGTTGTGAATACCTGAGATCTGTCACCTTCACATCTACAATCAGCAGAACTACAGTCTTACAACAAATTTTAAGTTGATTCTCACCTTAACCTTCCATTACAGTACTAGCAATAGCTATGTAGATCTTTAGTCACTTTTCTAGAGTTTAATTCACAAATCAGATTGTTTACGTCATATGAGTGATTTACAGCCATTTTTTAAGCATTTGGAAAGTTCGGGATAAGTCCTCGGCTGTGGGTAGGCATCCAAAAGACTTATCCTGAATGTTCAAACTAGTTATATATATGAGTAGAAAACGTCTCTGAAATATAATATATGTAAATTATGATGAGATAATAAAGAAAACAAATATTTAAATGTCCTAATAACCGGTTCCAAGCGTTGCATTCCTACAATCATCCTCTTATAGCTTTAAGTATGTTAAAAAATGCACTTTTCTTTGTGATAGATATATGTTATGCCATTTCCAATTCGCCAATATATTATATAGGAAAGATATAAGATGAGCCAAATATACTAGGTAGGTTGCTTTAGTAATAGTTTACAAGTGTCATATGTGACCCACTGATAATTACCATGGAAGAAATTTTCCTGCTATATTTCACTGTTTGGGCTGTTGTTCCGGTTGTGTTTAAGTACTACCAATATTTGTAAGTTTAGATTAGGTTACGTAAAATATTTTTTTAGATGAAATGTTCGAACTCAGGGTTAGAAAAAAGTGCCAAAATTGATTAATGATGTTTTCAATCACTCGATTTAAATCGTCAGTCCTATCTTGCATCACCGGAACAACAATAAACAAAAATTAAATATACTATGGACAAATTTCTTAAAGAATTTCTCTGTAATAGCTATGAAACACGCTTGTAAACTATTATAAAAAGTAATTTATCTTATATACTGTAGTTACCGCAATATATAGGTAATAGATATTAGATTTTGTCTAATTTTTTTCAGGCTGGCATTATAGCATTCTGGTATTGTTATTAGACCATCAAAATCCTTTTGCTTATCTCTGAGTTCATTAAGAGGTATAGGCTGTCCAAGGAATGCATCCATGAACTTCTTGAACGAGTTGAACCACATATGCCAAGAGTTCAAGAAGGACAAGGCAAAAAATTCTGGTGTTACTATAGTGTGCGGTCTACAAGATAATTGGGTTACGTTAACTTAGGTCAGATTAGATCAGGTTAGGTTAGGTAAAGTTAGGTTAGGTGTAGTTAGGTTAGGTTAGGTAAAGTTCGGTTAGGTTAGACTAAATACACTGTACTGTATATCGTTGTAGACCGACACTCTAAATCTTCGATTTTGTATTTGTTTAGAAGTGTATTGAGTATTTATTCAATGTTATGCAGTGAGGCAAAAAAGGAGGGGGGGGGGGGCACATCACCACTAGGCAGTACTCAGCACCCATGAAAACCCCCAAATCCACCTCCCATGTACACTCGCACCAAGAAGTATCGGTGCAGGGTGAGATCGACGACTTCAAACGATACGTATACACTGTGATATGTCGGGAAGGTTGGTAAGTGTATCCTCATAACCCCCCCCCCTCACTAGGTGTTGCCATATGGCTGGCAATCAGTGTGCTTGTTTTCTCTTTTCGGATTATTGCTTTGTGTCGACTGAATGATGAGCGAGGGTTTGGTCTCGGTGAACGTGGGTATAAAACAGAGGCAATATGAAGCAGTAGAGATCTACACATGCCAGACGACATGGAAACCTCAGAGGGAACACGAGGAGCTATTATTGCCCTTCATAACGAAGAGTTCGGCGTCACAGATATTAGCCAGCTGGTTGGTGTCCACAAGAACACCGCTGCACGACGGATTCGGTGATACCTCCAAACTGGTGCTACAGACGACAGGTCTCGGAGCGGCCGTTCACGCTGCACCGCCCCTCAGGACGACCAGATTGAGTGGTTTATTTGGTAGCATAAATTAATGTGGCAATATTCACAAGCATCACAAATAATTTTGTTAACAGGGAGCTCCTCACATTTCATACTGTCAATTTATCACTTCCCGACCTTATTTATAACGGTTTGTTTCACTTGATCAGGCCATAGTAGCTGCTCAGCAGGATTACAGGGCTGCCAACATACGGCTGGAACAACTCGCCTTTCCCAATACCCATCGTCACTGGTCTCAAATTGTTCACACTACAGTATGCACCGATACTTTTTGTTGCGAGTGTACAATAATACTACCAGGCCATAATTACAGTGCAGTAATATCTTCATTATCCAGGATTCTTTAATACGTACTCAGAATTGAAATTGGCTCGGAGTTTTTCCGGGAAAATTTTCAACATTCCGGGCCTGTGAACGAGTTTTCAAGGTCGAAACTCTTTTCTTTTTTTTCCGAAAAATCTCTTAAATTTGATTCCCGGACTTGGAGCAAATTTCCAGGTTAAATATCAGGCACATTTTTTGGAAATTTTTATGAAAACTTCCTGAAATCCTCAGAGTTTTTTCCCAGGTTTCCGAGGATGAAAGAATGTTTAAACTTGGAAACTTTTAAATGTAACCGGAAAAATTCTAGGGATGTGGGATTTTTTCATGGCTTGAGAGTCTTCTTGTTATCTGGAAGTCTCTCATCCCTGGAAGAGTACTGCACCAATTATTCCGGCTAACGGGGATATCACCTGTATGTTGCACTTTACGGAGGGTGATTCTCTGAAGAATTTAAAATGTAACACAGTAATATGTATCATCATAGGAGCCCTGTTGTTTACCATAATCAAGATATGCAATGTTAGACAAAACAGTAAATAAAAAAAAATATATATCCTACTATATGGGTGGGTTGGATTCAGGAAGTCTGAGAAAATGGACGGCACCTTAAGCCAGGGAAACCGCGTTTCTTCCTAGGGATAACTCACCAGTTATCCACATGTTTTGCGGGAGTGGAGCATAATATGAATCAACAGGTTTCAAACAGACCAGCAGTCATTGTGACCATGACACTACAGGATGCAGTATTCCACACACCTGCAACTCCTAACTGCATTGAGATACTTTAGCAGTGGCAGCTTCCAGATTAGTATGGCAGAATGCTTGAAGATTTCTGTGTCATCAGTTAGCAAGTTTGTCAGAAGCTATGCAATTATTTTGACCCTTATGGTAAAAGATTACATCCACTTTCTAGAATCAGGCAAAATACAAAACCTTGTAGATGAATTTCACACCATTGCAGGGATGTCTGGTGTATTTGGCTGCATTTATGGGTCTCGTATCCCTGTTAGAAGCCCTGGAGGGAACACAGCTGAACTACATCGATGTAGAAAGGGGTGTAATTGATACATGGTTTTGATTTGTATAATGTAGTTTGTTTGAAAGTAAAGCAAGTGTAAGGGCAAATGGAAGCATTATTGGTTTGGTAAAAAAATTTAGATAATAGATTTTATTATCAAAGTTATTTTCCAATAAATTTTTTGGCTTTAACTAACACATTTTATTTCCTCCAAACATTATCACATTACAACTTGAAACAATATTTCAATTCAAACATGACTATAGAAAAATATATCACAGTACAGATACTATACTGTACAGTACTAAAATAGTTTGCAAGAGTCAGAGAAATCCCTAAATAATTTTAGTTCCTCTAAATAAGAAAAAGCAGTAAAACCAAATTTATCACAGCACCTGTACAGTCCTGTATATAAAATAATAGTAATCATACTTAATTTGAAATTGCAAATACAGTTATAGCAATTATCATTCTTGAAAGATGTTAGAAGTATTGTACTGTACTGTATATGTATTGAAATTGTAATTAAAGTACAAAAGAAATGTGAAATAAAAGAATGATTAAAATTCCCAAATAAGTATGAGTATATAATACACAGTATATTGTATATGAAATTCTAGCAAAAAATATGTTGAACCTATTTTGGTTCACAAAAAGTAAAAGAACAAAAAATTATAACAAATGTTTGACAGTACAAAATATGATTTACATCTCCATTAAGTGCAAAAAAAATAAAACTGTAAACAGATTAAAAAAGACAATCAAATTTCTCCAATAAGTATGAGTGTACAATACACAGTACTGTTTATTGTATCTGACATTATATCACAAATTAAGTTGAAAGAATCTGCGTATTTGTTTTCACAAAAGAATAAAAAAGAACATAAATGTTGGAACATAAAAAATACTTCATATTCTCCATTAAGTGCCTAAGAAAAATAGTAAACAGAGAGATAGAAAAAATCACAGTTTATAAATAATCATTTATGACACTGATGGTAAAGTCTCCATAATTTAACTTGATTGCCCACAGCCAGAGGTGGAATTATGGCTGCACTCTTGACATGCCACTGGTCCACCACTCTAATGTTTGCTCTAAATATATAACACACAGATTGTGCTGATAATGCATTGTACATACTAATGAAGGCCTTTAAAACCTCCAATATAGCACCATTCAGTTCTTGTGTACTGTCCTTAATAATGGCAATGAAGCATTCATTCCTCTTGTTCACTTGCTTCATTCTCTTCCCCCTGTGACTGGATGTTGATGCTACTGTTGGTGGCACGGGTGATCCTGATGTTGGATCAGTTGATCTAAGTGTTCCTGCTGGTGCAGATGCTGGCATAATTGGTGGTGGTGTCTGCCTTCTCCTTTGAAGACGAACTTTTATCTCCACAACTCATGTTTCTGCTTCAATTTGGCGTGCAGATCAACCTGGTTTGTTTATATTTATCTTGAATAAGGCGTACCAACCCTCTTGAGTTGCGGCATTCGGGTTACTAAATAGTAACCCGATGTTTGGGATTGATATTCGAATTTGACGAATCCACTTGTCGGGTTACCAAACAGTAACCCGACATTCAGGACTGCTCTTCGGGTTTGCTGCCCCGAGTGTTTAAAAAAATGGCCGATAGTCATTTCCTCCCGTGATAGGCTTGTGGGGTTTCGAGATGTTGTCTCACACTCAGGATGGGTTGGAGAAAGGAAACTCACAATGCGTTCTCTGCACACATATTATATTGAATGTACAGTGCAGCTTGGTGCTAGGAAGCTGCTGCGTGGTTAGAAGCGTGGAGTAGAGAGAGCTCAGAGGTGGTGTTGAATGCTGCGTGACTGTAGGTAGAAGAGGGCAGGTCACGGCGAGGTGAGGTCCTATATAGCGGAGGTAGGCATGGCTTGATAGCTGACCTCCGCTTTGTCAGACGTCGCTAGTAGCTGACCTTAGACCACGAGGCATTAGCTGGGGAACCCGAAAAGGGATCGGCTAGTCAGCGACAAACGGTAGTTGTAGGTGAAATTTCCACTACAGGCTGTTCATCTCTTGGTCACTAGGTTCATAATTAGTCTGTATAGAAATTCTTTGACTGCACAAGTTTTCCAACTCATTCAAAAGCCAAGTTATTCCTGAGAATGTAACTTCACTATCTGACAGTGTCAAATGTTCACATCTTCTCCTGAAAAATAAAATATAAACATTTATTAGTATAGTTAGTACATGTATGAGAGGACTGTACTGGACTATTCCAGGGCCAGACCCAAACAGGGTAGTCTGGGGGTGTGGGGGCACAGTTGGACCATCAAGTGTACATATACCTGTAGTAAACATTAACTATTGACAGGATTGCCAAATGGCAACACAGTAGTTTTTCTTTTATTTACTGGTACAATATATATTATTTTATGTACAAAGAATAACTTCTTCCATACACAAACCATCCTCTGGACATGACATGCTCAACTGCTTAGCCTGGCAATCACCGGGGACAGGCAGAACCTCCTATGAATCCTGTGAGTCGCATGTGTTACACAATTCCAAGAGTGTATCATCAATGGGTGATGTTACATGTTCAACTGCTTAGCCTGGCAATCACCAGAGACAGGCAGAACCTCCCACGCGTCCCATGTGAGTCACATGTGTTACACCATTTCGAGAATGTGTCACCATATCTTGGAATATTGCGAGTGTATACAGTATACAGTATTGAACTTTGTAAAGCACTTTTTGTATATTTCACAATCATATATTGTATACAGTGTATAATATGGACACGAAGTAGTACCTTAAGCTGTGTATTCTTATACTACTCTATTAATTATGTATAGTAAAGTATTACAGAACATGGGTATGACGCTGTAGTTGTTGCTGAGCCTGTAGTTGTTGCTGAGCCTGTAGTTGTTGCTGACGCTGTAGTTGTTGCTGAAGCTGTAGTTGTTGCTGAAGCTGTAGTTGTTGCTGACGCTGTAGTTGTTATTGAAGCTGTAGTTGTTGCTGAAGCTGTAGTTGTTGCTGAAGCTGTAGTTGTTGCTGAACCTGTTGCTGAACCTGTTGTTGAAACTGTAGTTGTTGCTGAACCTGTAGTTGTTGCTGAAACTGTTGCTGAACTTGTAGTTTATGCTGAAACTATTGCTGCTGAATTTGATGGTGTAGCTGTAGCTGAACCTTGTACAACTGCTTTCTTTTTCTCATCATAAATCTGAATCTATAGGTAAAGGTCATATGCATTTTTCACGTCCCAGTTAATTTTAATGCTTCGTTCTATTAATGGATCCACTTCAGAAAATAAGTTCATTGCTTCTTACGGATATCTTTCACTGTTGATTCCACCATCCTCAGAGCGCACAAAATATCCACAGACCTCTCACTTTTTGTCATATAATTTTATCACGTCTATACCCTTTACACGCTAACCTGGCCCATGAGCCACGACCCTCGTCTATAGCTACAAATAACTGTTTGGTTCCCGAGTGCTTTACCTCCCCCGGAATGTGAGTATATAAGCGCGTATTTATATTGACCTTTTATGATAGATATTTACAATTTTCTAACATCCTCTCTGAAGGGCTAATGCCTTGAAATCATTTTTATTTTCATTGTATAGATATTTAACATTATTTTAGATAATAACAGGTCTGCTTACCAATTGTGAATGCATTTAGTTTGACTTTTCTATGAACCAATCAGCTATTAGTATAGAAGAGGGGTGTGGCATATGGGCCAGGTTAGTGTGTAAATACTATAGTTTCTTGGCTAAGCTTATACACTTTCATTTAGCTTTTGAACCAGCATTATCATCACTTGCTCTCTTGCTTGTGTTAAATATGGCCACAAAAATGCATGCAAGATACCTGAAGCTTTTCTCGTGTTCCTGTTCAGATACGTGGAAACAAAATGCTCGCTAAGGTGTAATGAGGGTAAATTAGGAGTTACAAGTAAAGTAAGAATTTATAGTTGTAGGATTGTAAAGTGTGGAAAGTTTGGTAGCGTGGCCGATTAGTTATTTTACCTGTTAATATATATTCTTAGGGGGAATTTTCTAAAAGCCAATTCCAAGTACAGTACAGCTATTTATTAGTTAACTCAATGGTACGGACACATTAATAGATCATTATATTTACGTTACTAGACAATGACTCTCGGATACAAACACGAAATGGACACACTTCCCACCGTAAGTAATTTGCCCCACGGATCGCTCTGACAATTACTCACGTGTGACCTGAAGGAGGCCCAACGGCTGGGGGATGTCTACAGGTGCTGCTGATGAGTGCTGGACTATATCTCCTGTGGGAGACTCTGCTAGCTGGGGGCTCGGTGTGGGGAGGGAAGTTTCCCTCCCGACCTCGACTAGTGATGAGCGGGACTTTGTCCTCCTCTGTGTTCTGTCTCTGCCTGTCTGTCTCTGGGAAGGATCTGTCGGCCCCTTCCCTGTTATAATAATAATGCCTCGTGGAAGTTGCTGCAGGCCCCTTATATTGGAGGTCACAAGCCGTCAGATGACTTCTCTTAATTAACACTAAACTGGGCAGGTCTGAACAGCTGTGTTTGCTCAGGTGTGTGTTGCAGGCTGGAGGGCAGTTTCTTGAGTTAAAATGGTCATGATCGCGTGGTGGTGAGAATTCTGGTTCCCTTTGGCTCAGGTCATAATCTCACTTTAATTACGAAGGGCGGGTCAACCTATGTGGGTGAACACTTGCTCCTCTACTAACTGTTATATGTGTTGTTCTTCTCTGGGCTGTAAGCTCTGGTCTGATATACAATCATTACAAAGGAGTGACTGTTTATGTTAGTGATGCGGCGCCATCACTCACCAGCCCGGCAGCATCCGTGTGCAAGGCGTGTTATTTTTTTATTATATTTATATAATAAATACCGGAAATTATTCATTATTTATATGAAATTTTAATTTATTTTTTATTTTTTATTCTATTTTCGTCATACATACAAATAAAATAACAGTAGAAAGTGAATCAGGCCCTAAATTAACAAAGGTTTTAAATATGAATCCTTGTTATTCAAGACTTTCCTGTACAAATTTCAGAAGTAAAAAAAAGTCAAATTTATTACCGGTAAGTTTCTTCCCATAAATTTGGATAAGAAAAGCAATACAGTATCTTAATAATCTTTATGTATTCTGGAAGCCAGATGACTAATGGGGCAGGGCCAAGTAAATAAAGTTGTCAACTTGAGTTTACACAGGACCCACATGATGCTACCTCTCCTATTCTCCTATGTACAGTCCCCTTCACTAGTGCATTTACAGAGGCTAGTCAGGTATTGTGCAGTGTGGCAGTGTTGTTTTTTGTTTACATTTGACAGAAGGAAACTTGCAATAGTAAACATAGTATGGAACCAAATATAAACAATATTAAAACATATATCTCAATGTAATGATTTGTGGAATGTTTATATGACGAGCCTCTGTAAACACACTAGTGAAGGGGACTGTACTTTGGTTAAGGGTTTTTGGGGGTCATTTTCTGTGGTTTGGCACTGGTCAGTTCTCAAGGGTGCTGGAATAGAGTTTCAACCTGTATCGGCTTATCATATACAGTGGTCCCTCGATTAACGAACACAGTTGGTTCCACAGAGTCGTTCGTTAACCGAAAATTTCGTTAACCGAATCTATTATTTCAATGGGATATTGGATAATTGGTTCCAGCTCACAGAAAAGTATACATACAAAGTACTGTATACCGGTAATAGAATTAACAAAACATTAAATATAAACTAAATACAGTACTGTACTGTACAGTATACCTTACAATAATAAATAAAACACAATAGAATACTGTATTTTAACTTACTTTGAGGTGTGTATGTCGTATTCCCGGCAGTTTTGTTTACTTATCAAACGCTGATTGTAGGGCAGTCGATGATGACAAGCCATATTCTTTACAGAGTGCATTGGTTTTATTGCCTTCTTCATGTTTCATAATAATTTCTGCACTGTATATTATCAATATGTTAACTAAATTTCAGAATGACCAATAATTTTAATGTAAAAATGCAAAAATATTCAAGAGCCCAAACTCGATGTTCACTCAACTGTAAACAAAGTTAAACTGAGAAGCGTTGGTGGGTGATTCAATCAGCTGATGGGTGCACAAAAACTGTTCCCTGTACTGTCTATATTATCAATATGTTAACTAAATTTTAAAATGACTAATAATTTTAATATAAAAAATGCAAAAATATTAAGGTGTACAACCTTCCTGATATTTACTCCACTGGAAACGAATGTAAACATACAACCGATTGCTGTATTGGCGGACTAGCCGATCAGCTGAAGTGCACAAAAAAACGTGTTTCTTGTAAGGCTTTCGTTAAACGAACTGAAAAACCTTATGGGAGCTAATTGGTTAACTGAAATTTTGTTAATCGAACCGTTCGTTAACCGAGGGACCACTGTACTATAAAATTTGCTGAAACCTCTCTATCTAGGAACATATCCTGAGCTTTCAAGGGGTACTATTGTACATGGTGGAATACATATAGTAGCCCTAATTTCATTAATTCTTAGGGGGAAAATTCCTCATTATAAAATATTTCACTGTAAGTTGTATAAAAAAGACCCTGTACAGTGTATATTGCACACTTGTCATTACAATATTGTACTGTACACCAAACCACAAAAGTCAACACAATAAGTCAAAGTACAGTAACTGAAACTTACAGGTCATCAGACCTGGTGAGAAACATTCTTACAGAATTACTTCAATTTCGCTATATTGTAAGAGAACTTTTGCCTGGCAAGAAAAAAGAGATGAGCCTTTAACACTTCACATTCAATATAATTTGTGATCAGAAACTAGATTCAACATTTCCAAACATAGACGTACTTCTATTTGAGTCTTGTGGTAACAAATTGCTCTGGAGAGAGAGAGGTCATTTTCCAAACTGAAATACAGGGACCACTGTATAAGGTTTCAATGCACCTAAGTTAGAATATTGTATACAGTTAATGTGATATCAAATAAAAAAAGTTTAATTCATGTACATTATGTTTGTCTTGCCTGCGGTGCCCATCGTTTCTCCGTGGATGTCGGTCACACGAGAATAACCCGTTATAGTACCTCCTTCTTTCCTCACACAGCCAAACTGTGGAATGCTCTGCCTTCTTCTGTGTTTCCATGCTCTTACAATCTGTCTCACTTTAAAAATCTGGTTTTCCGGCATCTTCGTGGTGTAGATTAATACAGTATAACCTTTTTTCTATACAGTCAACCCTCACTTTACGCGGTCCCACATTCCGCGTTTCCACGTTTACGCGGTGCCCTGCCAGAACCCAGGATGCTCACATTCCGCGGTGGGTGTACCCCTTTACACGGGTGAAGTATAATTTTTTTATTTAGCTCATAAAATTCATACAAATTATCCGGCCAGAATATAATTTACATTGCTGGAATTCTTACAATTTGATGATCATTTTGAATATAAACATCATAGATTTTGCATTAGACATACAAATTTTAGATATAATGTTTACTCTTGAGTAAATATGTTATCTTTTGTGCAAAATATATGATATTTATATTCAAAATATTCCTGGTCTTACAAGGAATCCAGCAATGTCAATTATATTATCCTAACTTTAGTCTGATTTATTATTTATTACTAAAAAGGTAAACAGTCTGGTATTCCCACACATTTATCTAGTAGGGACGTTGGTGGGGGGTGGGGGGGAGGGAGGGAGGGACCGGCGACCGACCATCTGTTACCGTGTGAAGAATATTTTTTTTTTATTAACTGAAGATTTTTATTTTAGCTCATAAAATTCATACAAATTACCCGGCCAGAATATAATTTACATTGCTGGAATTCTTACAATTTGATGATCATTTTGAATATAAACATCATATATTTTGCATTAGACATAAAATTTTTAGATATAATGTTCACTCTGAGTAAGTATGTTATCTTTTGTGCAAAATATATGACGTTTATATTCAAAATATTCCTGGTCTTACAAGGAATCCAGCAATGTCAATTATATTATCCTAACTTTAATCTGAGGTATTATTTAATACAAAATGTTAAAATTTATTTTTTTCACCCACTCTTTCTCTTGAAGGGAGGATTGGTGGGAGGTGGGGGGGAGGGTTGGGACTGACCGCACGGTTGGAAGAGGGGGGGAGGCAAGGTGGGGTACTTTGATTGACAGATAGTGTCGTGAAGAATATTTTTTTTTTTTATTAACTGAAGATATTTGTTTTAGCTCATAAAATTCATACAAATTACCCGGCCAGAATATAATTTACATTGCTGGAATTCTTACAATTTGATGATCATTTTGAACATAAACATCATAGATTTTGCATTAGACATACAAATTTTAGATGTAATGTTTAATCTGAGTAAATATGTTATCTTTTGTGAAAAATATATGACATTTATATTCAAAATATTCCTGGTCTTACAAGGAATCCAGCAATGTCAATTATATTATCCTAACTTTAGTTTGAGGTATTATTTATTACTATACCTGGTTTTCCCCCCAAAATTTCTCAGAGGGAAGAGCCAGCAGTGTAGTGTGAGAAGAGGGGGAGGGAGTCGTGTCCATTATTTGAATTGACATTAACTTGGCGACTGTATTTCTCTATTTCTCTTAAGTATTAATTGTGTGCATGTACCATCATAAAATTAAGATGTTATTTTTACTAGAACATAGGTATTGTGTTGGAAAAAGTGGAGTTTGGGGGTCAGCTGGTCTCTATTTCATTTAATCCCATATGTTATGTTATTCACTTTACGCGTTTCTCACTTTCCGCGGTACCCTGTGGGTTACATTAACCGCGTAAAGTGAGGGTTGACTGTATTTACAATTTCTTTCAGTTCTTTTTTTTTTTTATTATTGCCCCCCCCAGGCTCTGTTGTGGGTCATTTGACCTGTGCCCGGGTGGGCTAATTCCCGAAAAAAAAAAAAAAATGGATTAATACATATTAATAAAGTACACAATTTGTAATGATATATTTCAATTATTAACCTGCCACCACTAATACTGTATTTAGTCCGTAAAATTTGTTTTCATACATAAACACATACACTTGTACGTGTAGCTGGTAGGAAAAAGTAAAGATATTTTAATTTAATTTATATGAAAGGGCCTCCACAAGCATATTTGTCTCAGGGCCTCCACCTACCTTAATCCAGCATTGCCCTGAGTACAAGTATCTATAATGAGGCCTGTACGACCAGAGTGGGAAAAAAGAAAAGAAAGAGACCTCTGGTGTTTTCCTCTCTCTGATCTACCGCCCACCACCCTCACTGCCAGCCCCGCACGCAATGATGAGTGGGTAGTTTAACTTAATAGCAAAATCCCTATACTTTTGTGAATAAATCTTGATTTTGACCATAGTGGCATTTTGTCCACTCTGGTCATACGTGCCTCAAATACTTATCAGCATTAACACTTGACTCTGAGGTCAATTAAACTATGTGTGCAGTAAGGTCAATGAGCTACAGTACAGAGAATTATTGTTATACATACCAACCACACACTTGCTGGACAACTGCTGCTAACCACTCCTTGTCTTCATCCTTTAGGTTTGGCACAGTGATTTCCAAGTCACCACTAAATTTTAGTTTTGGCAGTGATTTAGGGTCACAATTTTGGGAGAAGGCGAGGATAATGTGAAGGCGCTTGAGAGATTTATATATGTTGGACAAGCTGTTACTTAGAGAGCTGAGGGCTCTGGGAGTTGTTATTCTGACACTGGCAGTTTTCAATTTGAAGCATTTACCGGTAACCAAGGTTTCCTTATTCTTCTCTTGCTCTCCGAGGCTGCCAGTAAAATGTGTGAGGCGACCCCATTTTAAAAGAGCGCCAATAAAGTCATCAGACAGTTTATCACAACTATATTCATTATGTCGCACAAGGTGTAATTCTACTTTTGTGGGATTCCGTTTCTTACGATAGCAACACATTTCTTGCATCGTAACAAGTAATTCTGGAATATCATAAGGCTCAACATCGCCGGGTATCTCAATCTTGAGACTCTCTAGTTCTACTGGAGTGTGGGCGAGAAGTTTGAGCCCTGACACAACTTGGTACTGATCTAGTTCCCAGTGATCTTGGCTTAACTTATCTTCAGAAATAATGCGTCGTAAACTTTTATTGTGGCATGATTCTAGAAGAATTCTCCACCAGAAGTTAAAATTTTTATCATCAACCTCTGCTTCATTTATTAAATCAAATATGATTGATATGTTATCATCCAATATCTTCTGTCTGGCCATATGACCAGTTAAAAAGAAGATGAGTTCATGATACTTCTGCCATTCACTAATCTTTCTCAAAATACTTCTCTTTTCTCTCACTTGATCCACCAAATATGCACCAGCAAGGAAGTCCATTTGAGTTTTGTTTAAGAAGGAATAACTATATTCATCAGGGCTGCTATCCTCATCAAATTCACTCAGAAGAAATGCAGACATAAATTGTTTTTTATCAATTTTTTGATTCTCACACATTTCTTCGATCTCCTTTATTTGATACCCCGATAGAAAACTACCATATGACTGTTGTGATTGTAGTGAGGACCAAGCTTGTTTACCCAGACACTTCATAAGATCCCAGACACAGTTGTTGTTTGTCTCGTGATTATGTAAACATGTTACCAATTTCTTCTGACAAAGTGAGAAGAGTTGAAAATATAAGCTTGTGGCACATTTAACTCTCTTTAGAATGTCACAATCGTATCGCCAGAGATAAATTACAAGTGCAAGTGTGAGAGGAAGTTTAAGGTATTCTTTCAGAATTGTACTGTTTTTTATGAGTGTCAAAAATTCCTCACTTTCATTTTTGTAGTCACTTTCATCAACCACAATTGATTTGGAAAAGTTTTCAGTAAATTCTTCTAGCCTGCAACCATCAATGCCATTAATCTCAACAGAGAGATATTCTACACTATAAGTTCTAGACAGAATAGCTGCAGTTTCACAAAATTCGGGGAGTGTTGTTAAAATTATACGCTGATCACCAAATTTTGCAAAGATCTCTTCCATTATGTACTTTGAATTTTCATTACCATCATGATAACCATCAATGATAAATAGTACATTCAAGCCCTGCAACACTGATATTATTTTATCCGAGTCAATTATATATTCAGGTTCAATTTCTTTGTCTCTCTTGTAAATACGTTGCTTTATAAGATATTCCTGTAGGTCCATCGATCTTACTCTGTGCATTTCTACAAGAATTACTAAATGAATGTTCTTTAACTCTGCAATTTTCTCTCCTTTTCCATACCAGTCATTCAAAATATAATGACATATAGAGGTCTTGCCACAGCCAGCTGGACCAAGGAGTAACAAAGCATTAGGAACTTTCAATTTACCATTTATCCTTTTCTTCACTGTCAGAAGCTCTTTCAGATCAATTTCTGTGTTTGAGTCTTTAATTGTAAGTGGTGTAAATATTCCACCAATATCACGCTTATAAACTGATGCATTAGGTTCGGTCAAGCAAGTCCATGGATTGAGTACTTTGCATTTACAGTACTGTTCCTTAAATTCTTTACAGCCAATGACAGTCAACTTATGTTCGTTGCTCTCTTTAAATTCTCGAATGTCTTCTTCGTAACTTATCATGTCATCTTGACGAAAGTGAGAATCACAGATATCATGAAGAAATCTTTCCATGCTTGCAATATTTTTTGTGAAGTCTACTTTCAAAACTTCACCAACACCTTCATAAATTTCCCTGAGGGATGTTTTGAGTTGGTCAATTTCAGTTTCGAAATTTAAATCAGGATCATTGTATTTATGGCTTACTTTATTCCTCAGAGTCTTCAGGTACTTGATTTGATCTTTACAATTACAACTCAATGGATAAACGTCAAAAAGTACCTCAGTGATCACTCTAAAGCCAAATGATATATCAAATTCTTGAGTCATTAAGTTTTCATCAAGAAATGGCTCATCCAATTTTGTAAATTTGGACTTTACCTTGCCTGAGCTCCAGCTCAAAACCGTCTTTAAATAAACTCGAAAATGCATCGTCCCTCTTTCAGATTTCACAGTTGGATGTGAATACATTGTACGCACAATATCAATCATAACATTTTGGCCTATTTTTGAGATACCCTTAAGAAGTTTACCAAACTCAAGGTCTTCCTGTGTGAAACCTCGGGGCATCCTGCTTGAGGGTAAATTGGTTGGCATCATCACTGTAAGGATGAAGGGGGCTAAGAGGGTCCCAATCTTCTTTGTAATCATGTTACAAGTGTCCATCCTGCACAGCTGCTCCTCGATAATCCTTGTACATTATTCTAATCCACTCACTGAAAAGGGTTAAAATAATCTTACTTAATTAACAATATCATTATGCAGGATGATCAATAATATATAACTAAAGTACTTAAGTAACCAATACAAACAATTATGAGACAGTTTTACTCATAAGTCAAAAAATGCAATACTGTACAGTAGGTATTAGAAAGAGAAAAGGGCAGTTTAAATTAGTTTATGATAAAAATTACTAGTTATCTACAGTAGACCCTTTCCATTCATGGATTTGCGATTCGCGATTTCGGCGATTCACGGTAAGCAGCTGGCAACTCGGGTAGCTAGCATGCGAGTCTTCTCCTGCAGTGCAACGAATCACCTCATGCACCCGCAGCGTCTCATCTCCCTCTGTTTGCCCTCACCCAGTACCTGTGACCAAGCATCCCGTGTCATACTCTCAAAACTTTTGTGTTTCTTCGTGAAAATGGCCCCTAAAAGACTGCCTAGTATCAGTGCTAGTGATGCTAGTGGAGTGAAGCATATACGGCAAAAGTCAGCGATGACCCTAGCAGAGAAAATTGAATCATTAGATAAGTTAAAGGAGGGGATGAGTGCTGCCGCAGTTGGTCGGTTGTTTCTTGTGAACGAATCCACAGTGCGGTATATCAAGAAAAATGAGCAAGTAATTTGTGATACTATTCAAGCAAGTGCTCCTGCAAGTGCTAAAGTGGTGCAGGTTGTTTGTGACAGGAACATAGTGAGAACTGAGAAAGCACTGAACATTTGGGTTGAGGACCAGCACCACAAAAATGTTACAATCAACAGCAATGTGATTTGTGAAAAGGCTAAGTCATTATGATCATTTTTACGAATCAACAGGTGGTGAAGGGGCTAGTGCAGTGACTGAACCAATTTTAGTGCCATTAATTTGAAGCTGACTGGGCAGGCTGCATCAGCTGACCACACAGCCGTAGGTGCATTTCCCACCTAGTTGAAGAAAATAATAGAAGAGAAAGGCTATAGACCAGAGTAAGTGTTTAATGCTGATGAATCTGATTTATATTTGAAGACAATGCCTGGTAGAACACACAGAAACAAGCAGGAAAGGCGTCCCTCTGGGTTCAAGGTAGCCAAGGGCAGAGTGACGCTCATTTTCTGTGCCAATGCGGCTGGCCACATGATCAAGCCTGGCTTACAGTACTTTACCGCTCAGCAAACCCAAGGGCCTCAGCAAACAGAAGGGTCTCAATAATCCAGACTCAAACATTCCAAAACTTCAATCATCCATTTTTTTAACTAGCCAGCCAGTGAGCCTACCAAAATCAGTCAGCATCCACCATTACTGTACTGTATAGTACAGTACAATACAGTACAGTACTTGGATCTAGTGCCTGAGCATTTACACTTTATTTATCTTCAACATTTTCACCCACCAACTATTCATGATGGCTAACAATACTGCACTCCTAAATCACCAGTAAATGGAAAATCCTCTAATAGGAAACATGTTTCCTCAACTGTGAGTGATAGTGTTGTGTTGCACAGTAAAGATATCCCTCGCTTTAAGAATGTACAAGAAACAAAAATTCGCCTGTACTAATTTCTTAATTTAACACTTCTTTCTTATTTAATGAATTTTGGTCCAAGCAAAAATTTATATTGTGTGCCCACCGGGAGTCAGCTGAGCAGCCATCTTGGAGAGATTCACAGAGATATATTCTACCTTACTGTGTGAGCTATGTTATGGTAATTTTTCAACTCATAATTTCTGGTAGATATTTACAACTTTCTTCACCTTTTTTTTTTAACTCACTTACATGCACACACAGTAACTACAGTGCTGGCATTGCCTTACCCAAACAAACATTCAATCTATCAACCTGCGACCACGTGCCCCCCCCCTCCCCACACGCGGCCTGCACAAACAAGATGCTCTGATTCTGCTGAGTGTATGGTTTAAAGGGTAGCGTGGCCACCTGGCCTCCATGATGCAGATCGCCTTCTTAAGTGATGCTGTGAGGACCATGCAACCACCAGCCCTCTGTGGTAAACATCAACTCCCAATTCTGGCCGAGTTTTTGTGCTGGAACAATTTACACAGTACTATTGTCCCTTGGAACACCATACTGGTTCGCATTGATCCGCACTTGTAAGTACAGCCAAAGTGATGACATACCCCTCAGTACTGAAATATTGTGGACTAATTATGCCTACTCGTTTCTGCCTTATCTGGAGAATTAAGACAATGCGAAATGAAGTGTAGCTAAGATTAATAGAGTTATGAACTTTGTATCACGTCACTATGCTTAATAATCAATTGTAATTAAGATGAAATCGTCTGAGACCAACTAATTATGTATCAGATAGATCACCATGTAATACTAATGAACGCCTTGTTGTCTCCAGGTTTTGACCACATCAATAAATATTTAATGCGTCAAAAGACGGGTTTCAATCATTCCCTTTGACTTGCCCGTCACCTGAACGTCCTTAACTAAGGCGTTTACAATAATAATAATAAATAATAATAAATATCATAAGGTCAAAAACATAAAGGGAATAAAATTTCTTTGTTTGCCAATGACAGTTAGCAGACTGAGCAGGAGAACTACATTATGGTTATTTTTCAACCCGTAATTTTGGGTAGATACTCTTATCTTTCTTATTTACTCATCTACATGCACACATAATGCTTCATACATATGTGAAAAATTAAATAAATTAATAAAAGAAAAACTTCATACATATAAAAAAAAAAAAAATTAATAAAATAAAACTATCATTAGGTCAAAAATATAAAGGGTATAAACATTTCTTTGTGTGCCAATGACAGCAGGATGGAGCCCCATTGTTAAGGGTCGGCAGAGGAAGCATCACAGCTGGACTGCATTGCTAGGGCAAGTGTTGCAGCCACACCGCCAGTATATTTTAATACTGTATAGATAGTATTTTATTAATGTTTTAAATGTCTTAGGTAGTAAATTACAATATTTGGGGGCTATTTTTCATTATTTAAGTACTGTAGGTTTTGTTGTTGTTTGTGAACCGATTTCATGTTTTCGGGGAATAATATTGGGTTTTCCTTGTCGTTGGGAACTGAAGCCTATTTTTACCATTTGTTCTGATATAGAGATATGAAAATATACCTCACACATGGTCTTCAAGGAGCCTACCCCATTCATTAAGCGAGAGATACTTGCTTTATGGTATATACAGTACAGTGTACTGTAGTATATATTATAAACCTGCATGACCGTGACCTACTGGATCTCAAGAAGAATGGACACTGAACACTAAGGCTTGTGTTATATCTATTTTGTGTATTTACGCAATTCTTTCTATTGTAATATGTATTAATTTATTTATACTGCATCATGTATATATATATATATATATATATATATATATATATATATATATATATATATATATATATATATATATATATATATATATATATATATATATATATATATATATATATATATATATATATATATATATATATATATCAGATCCCTCGGTTAACTCAGTTAACGATTTACCTTCCATAAGATTCTTAACTTCGGTTAACGAGCAATCCCTCGATTAACGAGTTTTTTACGAGCCGACTTCAACATGTTTTCGCTTGCATTTGGCGGTCCACCAGCTGTAGTATTAGTCTGCCAATACAGTAATCGGTTTTAGGGCTTAAATTCCTTACTATTTTAGTAAATATCAAGAAGTTTATACTATTCAATAATTTTAAAAGTTTAATATTAACTTTTTTAGTCATTTTAACAATTATTGAACATAATTGAAGGTAAAGAAACTAGTTTCTGGCGTGCCATCCAGCCTGTTAACACACCAGACAGGCATTAGTCTCTCTCTGTTTTCAGTGGAGGTAAAACCTTGCTTGAGACTCTCTTCAACTAAATGCTTTTTTTCTGTGTTTCCAGCAAATTATTGGTCATTTTGAAATTTGTTTTACATATTGACAATATATAATGCAGTGCAGTGTTGATTTAAATAAAATAATCTTGAATTAAACCAAGAGAACTAAAATTTTATGGGTGAAATGGTGCCATGGGGTGACATCTCTTCCACCCCAATGCCTTCTCTTCTCCCTTCTCCTCCACCCCCATTCTAATTCCCATCATCATCATCAACATCCAGGAGCCTTCTACATACACACCTCAAAGTAAGTGTACTTTTCTACATTTTTTGTTGAATTTAGGCAATTTTCGGTGAGCTGGAACCAATTACCCAAAAACCCATTGAAACAATGGTTTCGGTTAACAGAGTTTTTTGGTTAACGAGCAACCTGCTGGAACGGATTGTGCTCGTTAACCGAGGGACCACTGTATGTATATGTATATGTATATATATATATATATACATATACATACAGTGGGGTATGCTATAACGAACGGATCCTACTACGAATATTCCTATAACGAACGGTTTTACCTATAAAATTGAGAATGCTATAACGAAAGCAACTCCTACAACGAACGTGGCTGAATACAGGACTATTTCGTCTGGCGCATGAATATTGTTGTACTGCGACCCACAACAAGAGCGTCAGGTGCCATCTTTGTCTCATTGTGTAGCCAGTGCACCACTGTTATTGTTGAAATTTCGTCTTTTGATGTGGAAATACGAGTTATTTGTATAAATATTTTGTTATACAAGTGTACAATTGTAACAATGAATCGTCCAAAGCGAGTGAGAAAGCTCATAACTCTTGAAACTAAGAAAGAAATCATAAAGAAACATGAGAATGGAACATCCAGGGTGTCATCCGCGAATAATAGAGGACCGTGAAATAAAAATCCGCAAACTTGGGGGTCCCTGTATTAACATGGCTGAGTCAGTTGAGAGCCTGAGCTCTCTTGTAGTCCATCAAGGTTCATATTCATGGCAAAATTCAGAAAACAAAAGTAGTAAAGTTACAATTCCTCCAAACTTTTAATCACATTTGAAAGGTAAGAAACAAGTTCTGAAGAGCTTACATAACCGGGTACCCACTTTCACAACATTTATGTTATGTTAGTAATCCTTTGTTTTAACCCAACAATATCATCACATAAAATAACAATGCAAGTACAGTATAGTATCTGAGGTCTCCAGTAATCTTTATTGAAATATAATTTTAAAAGGAAACTAAACCTAACCTAACCCTCACTTCTAATTGTTTTAAAACAAAAATAAAAACAAATGTAGCAGATTCAGACACGGAACCAGGAACCCAATTGGTAAAATCATACCCTGGTAATACCTGTAGTAGAGATAGCTAACACCAGATGTTGTTCCATTTGGTTAATTTTTTCCACAGATGTTATCATTATACTACATAGTAAGTATTAAAAAAAAGCGACAACTTTTTATTTTAATTATAAGTATTTATTTATATTTTACCTTTTTCTATCGATGTTCATAAATCACCTGTGGTGGGCAGGACATGAATGACGAGGGAAATTGCGTGGGTAAAACACGGTGAAAACTGATCATATGACACTAAAATGACGTCTCTACGTGCTTTATACGCGAAGAAAATTATTATTTACCGTAGATACGCCTCCAAAAATTCTGCCGAGTCAGTGCATGTTATTGCCTGCGCAGTTTGTTTACAACCGACCCGTTCAGTCCAAGCGTACTCTCACATCCACAAAAAAGTAAAATTACACCAAGACGCTTCAACAAAGTTATTTTCATGGATACCAGATATAAAAAAAAAAGTAAATCCTCGAAAACTCGGCATTTGGTAACTCGGAATTTCATATAACTCGGCAAGGATATGGTCTCGGAATGTTTTAGTATAACTCGGGATATGCCGAGATATGTACAATTATCTGGGAAAATCTCAGTATATCTGGCCACCTGCATCACCTACCATGCCTGTGTCACCTACCATGCCTCTGTGTCATCTACCATGCCTCTGTCACCTACCATGCCTGTGTCATCTCCCATGCCTCTGTGTCACCTACCATGCCTCTGTGTCACCTACCATGCCTGTGTCACCTACCATGCCTCTGTCACCTACCATGCATCTGTGTCACCTACTATGATGCTTCATTCTTCGCCTGCAGTGCTGGTAAGTGCTTTTTTACATTTAGTAATTACATGTAGATATATATGGGTTGATAATTTTTTACTGTTGTATTTTTGTAGGAGGGGGAGTGCCTCGATAAGTCAGACTTTGGGATGACTCGGCAAAGTCAGAGCCCCATATGTGCAGAGTTATTGAAGGTTTCATACAAGTATTTTATGCTTAATATAGTGGGGGGTCAGGTGACAGAGCCCCCAAGCTATGAAGTTCGTTAGGTTGTTTGGTTAGGTCAGGTTCTATTAGGTTCTAGTAAATGTCGCCTCTTTTAAAATACTTACGATAATGATATGAACATCTGTGAAAAAATGAACAACGCCTTCTGGTGTTAGCCAACTCCTCCAGGATTACCTACACCATAAACATAAAAGACATATCAATGAGGTTTAGTATCAGTTGTGGACATCAGCTGTGCATTATACTGTACACTTACGTCAGGGCACCGAGCTAAGCAAGTTATTTCGTTAAATATACCCGGCTACGTAGGTACTCCAAACAAGTTTACTTCTATAAAATTTTTCCTTAAGTGGCTCATAATGACATGCACTCTAGTAAACTAATACCAAGTAAAATATAAGAGACTGTTCCTAATCTTCATGAGATCTGAAGTATTTTACCTGATGAAGCTGGTGGTTCAGCAGGAAAGAGATGTGATTTCTAATTTCAGATAATCTAATTTACAGTACAAATAATACTGTACTTCCATCCATTACTGTGAGCCATATGCTTATAGCTTCTTGGGTAATTATTTGGATTGCGACCGTTTGCTATTTTTCATTGAAAATGGGTTTAGAAATACAGGGCCCAGTTTCCACTGATTTTATAAGGGGATACTGTATTATGTTGTGGAAAAATATAAAAATGGCTGAAATCATGTGCTAATCTAACCTAACCAAACCTCTATCTTAACTTGCCTATGTCTAGAAAACTAAGCATTTACAAAAGAAAATGAACAGAACTGAAAGTAATCAGCATTCAAAACTGCATCTAAAAACACCCACCATAATTATTGAAACGCTGACAGTCAAAAGTTGTATATTTGTCGCCTCTTGTAGCTCTATCATATCATCACATGGTGGGGTAACTTCTTGTCCACCAGGATAATGTCCCTCACACACACACACCTGTCCATGAAAATGATAAAACAGCTGTGGTAAGTGAACATTCCCTGGTTTGATTTGATAGGATCATAGTACAGTAGTAAGTCTTATATGCTTGTAGTATATAAATAAACTTACTGTCAGGATATATTCAGGAGCCAGTACATGCCCAGCACTTGCCAACAGTGCATAAAAGAGATGTGACCAACCACCCAAGCTGCTAACGAGCCGATCAGTGGCAAAGATGATAAAAGTACCGTAAATAAAAATTCTCTGCTTTGAACTGCACTCTTCTCCCTCCCTTCACCCTTAGCCCTGAATGTCTGCAGGATTTTTCACCGGGACAAAGTTGACATAATGGCAAATATTTAAGTATTTTCTGCAAAATCTAGTGACAAATTTGACAGTAATTAATAACATGCACCCCCACCTTATTGTACCACCCTACCACTGCTTGAAAGGATTAGTTTAGATTACCATTAGGGTAGTTAATCCTCAGATGAAATAAACTGGGTGCAAATCTTCAGGTATTCTGTTTTTCTTTCATCAAATTATAAATGTTTTCTAATTTTTTGTCGGACAACCCACCCCTGCTGACTCCTATGGGTGTCTTGAAATACAGTAGCGTTTGTATATGAACTTCTCATAGTCTTAGTAGTGGTTGGTACTGGTCGTACAGTGGTAATGAGCATCACTCTCACCAATATGTCAAGGGTTCGAGCCTCGGCCTGGATACACGTGAGAAGGGTGTTAGGTTAATATTTAGAAGTTTCCAACACCTACATATATATTGAGTCTCATAAAGAGGAAGTGAAAAAAAATAATTTATTCTGTAGTGTTTCCATCACAAACATATATTTTTAGAGTATTCTACCTGATAAAATTACCCTCAATAATAGTTGTTCAAAGAGGGTTGTTCTTTGAAGAAGAAGGAAATATGTGGGCTAAAATACTAAAAATAACACCAAAAAAACCTTTGAAAACTTAATTAACCGTCTCAGCCTCGCAGCCTGAGACACATACGTGCATGAAAACTTACACTCAGCCTCGGAGGTTTTAGCCAAAAAATCGCTGAAAAAATATATATATTTTTTTAGGGCTCATTTCACTGCCATGGAATTGTTTTATTAATTATAATGGGGTCTCTTCTAGCATAAAATTCTAGGAAAATTTGTATGAAACCATAAAAAAAATGAAAATTCTTGAAATTTAAGCCACTTTTTTCGAGTATAAGTTGAAAAAGTAGGAAATTGTTTAGTAACATCTCGATTTCCATTCACATTTTCCTTGTATAATGGTGTTCATTGATATGTACTATATACCAAAATAAAGAACAAGGCATTTAGAATATCATGGTATAAGGAAAAATAATATAACACAAAAACTCATGGAATAATTAAAGGGCCAAGCAGCACACCCTAATGGCCATAGTGACACTGGCTTCATGCTGCACTGCCACTCACACGATGACCAAGACCATCTCAGGGAAGGTGATAAGACCCACACAAAGAAAACGTCTGTCAAATGGCGTCCAAAGTTCAGTCAGGTTCACTGAATAGTTTTGAGTTATTTGAAAACATAGCACATTGAACACCACATTGGCGTCATGAGGCTGAGTGTAAGTTTTTTCGTCTTTAATGTTCGACACCACAATGGCGTCGTGCGAGGCCAAGAGGGTTAACCTTTCTTAACTTGTATAAATGTTAAGAATTGATAAACAGTGCAAGACCAGTAGTACTGTACTTGCCAACAGTGCGTAATACAGACGTGACTGACCTGCCAAGCGGTTAACGAGCTGATCAGTGGCGAAGAGGATAAAAGTAAACGTTTGAGTTTATGGACTGCTCCTCATCTGAGCACCTAAAACATCACCATCATCTACTAAACACCAAAAACATGCGTAAGGTAAGGTTTTTATAGTCTTAGGATTTTTAAAGGTTAAGTAAGGTTTTCAAAAGTTTGTTTAGTGTTTTTTTTTCAGTATTTTACCCCACATTTTCCCTCTACTTCTAAGCCCTGCCCACTTTGAACAAGTAATATGGTATTATTGCTTTTAATTGCCCCAAAACTTTTGGCAAATTTTTTTTTATATACCTATCATGTAGTTTACACAGTTTTAAAACACTTTTTTCTATGAAATTTTCACCAGAAACAAAGGAATACTGAGAAACAGCTCAATTATTATTAAAAAATCGTCTGAAAAAAACTAAGTTAGGTTAGGTGGTATTATTTCACTTGTTGCCATTAAATGAATCTCTGGAACTTTATAGTTGCATTCAGTCTCAGAATCTATTGATTAGTACCAGAAATGAAGGTAAAATTAGTTCATAACACATCAAAAACCATTGGAAAAAGTTTCAACTTCAATTTTGTATAGTGGCAACAAGTGAAAATTTACCGGTTAGGTTAGTTTTTCACAACAAATTCTGCTTACCCCCTCTCCCCACCCAAAAAAAACAAAACCTTGCTTCCCCATGAGTCCCCCCCCCCAAGTTTGTAAGATAGCTATGATAGGCATCTTTGTGGTATAGATTAACACAATATAACCTTTTGTTCTCTATTTTTAATTTCTTTGTTCTTTTTTTTTCGCCCCCCAGGCCCTGTTGTGGGTCGTTTGGCCTGTGCCCGGGTGGGCTAATTCCCGTAAAAAAAAAAAACCGCTTCGTCACCACTATTTTAACTCGTTTCGTAACCACTGCTTTACCCCTTTCGTCACCCCGTTCATTCCCATCATTATATACACGAAAGTAACTGTTACTTGTGATAGAAAATAATAAAAAACACTCAGACAATTTATTAATGACGAAAAAATAAAATAAAAACATTGTTAATATGTCTGCAATCATCTCCCTGCTCAGTGGTTCATGTGGTCGTGCCAAATCACCTTCATTTGTTCTGTATTTTGTTTATTTACCAATCTTGAATCGTTTTCTTTATTAAACAACTAATATTCATGTATAATAATAACACAATACTTCTCGAGTCGTCTGTATGGATATGTAGTTTCTGTTCGTGTAAAATAATAACTTACACTTTGTCACCAATACCAGCGACCGTTAGTGATGACGAAACGGAATTGATATTGGTGACGAGTTGGGTCGGTGACGATGTGGATTGACGACAAAATGGGGTGTATCCCTCTGAAACGAGTGATTTCCAGTGGATATGGAGGTCATAATCGTCCAAAACTCATCAAAAACCATCGGAAAAACATAATTTTGTTGTCTTTGTGGAGTTGGGCAATTAAAAGCAAATTTTACAGAAACATTGTTTGTAATTTTATCAGTTAGATTAGGTAGGCTTGGATATCTTAATACAGGGATGACCAAAACTATAATTTTTACCTTTTGGGGGATCAATTTAGGATAGCAGCCAGGTTTTGGTTAGGTTAGCACCAGAAACGAAGGTCAGATTTGTTTGAATCACAAAAAGAACCATAGGAAAAAGGTATTTTTTATGGAAAAATCGAAACATGGGTACTATCATGAATTGACCCCTTTTTGTTTTTGTCCTAGGGGGCTTTTGTCCGGATCCTGGTTGGTCCTGATAACGTCTTGTACAGAAAACAAATTCATCATTAGTAAAGATCCTACAGGAAATATATTTTTTAACACCCTTTGTTACACTATTCTCTGTTGGGTCGACTTTCTGTCTACCTTCTTTGCATACCTGAACTCTATATGTAATTCCTGAACCACTGTGATCTATTTTACAGTTTACTGAAAACATATCTGTGTTGGGGCTATCAGCAACAGCCTTTCTACCAAGGAACAGCCAAAACACACAGAAAGAAACACCTTCCCATTCCCACTACGCAATTCAACCTCTATAGCCTGACACACACAATTATCACATGAGAAATAAACCGCTGATGATGAAATTTATGAAATATATATTTATGAACAACGCAATACATTCTTTTTGTGTATTTTGTATCGTGTTTCATAATTATTCTGTATAAGAAAATACTGTACAAGAATTTACCTGGACAATGCTTATGGAAGCCAAGTCTTGGCTCTTTGCGCCGCATCTGCTATATATGGATTAGTAAACAACAACAACTACTACTACTACTACTACTACTACTAATAATAATAATAATAATAATAATAATAATAATAATAATAATACTAATAATAATACTAATAATAATAATAATAATAATACTAATACTAATACTAATACTAATACTTATAATAATAATACTAATAATAATAATAATAATAATAATAATAATAATAATAATAATAACCTTGTAAAGATGGCAATATCAACAATACTGTATATACCTACATTTTTGCCAAGGGTTTCGACAGCGTACCCTCATGATGTGTTGTTGAGACCGTAGTCCATCACGGGCCTTTGCCTATAGGCGGCGGCCGTTTAACCTCATGAAATTCTAAAAATTAAACTGGAAGGGTACGGGATCGGGATTCGGTGAAGGGTCCAATCGTGGACTTGGCCTGTCCAATGCTGTTCTTAAAAACATTCAAGTCAGAATTATTGTACTGCGCACATCATAGTCATTCCTAAAAAAAAAAAACTTTAATTCTTATTACGCTATATAACATTCAAATCCACCGTGCTTGTAGAATATCAGAAAACGGGAAACATTGATAAGGGATAACTCACCTACTCAATGTTACTGAATCATTTGTTGAATTGTACCCAGGTACGGCTATATAATAGTAATTGTATATACTCATAGCATTAAGGACAACTCAAGGTATATATAGGATGGTTGGGAAAGTCCAGTTGAGTCGGACTAGTGTACTGTAGGACTAAGTGTAGATCGTGGTTTGAAGGTCATACTATTTACGTCTGTGAACGTTTAGCGATCATAACTTCAGCAGATAACATATGAAAATACACGAGAACAATGATCTGGAAAAAGGATAAATGTATCAGAACTTTGTGAGGTGTTGGCAGTGACCCAGAAACTATACTTGAAAGGAAATATCTTGTATGCATCGGTGGGAACTTGATACCCACGACATGTACAGTGATCAGAGAATCTTATGTCTGTGTTCAAGTAGTGCAAGGTGTGAGAGGAGGATCCCTAATTACAGTTTTAAATGAAGTGGATATACCCACGCTATGAACATTCGGCTTTTGTTTCAGGGTAGCGTCCTTTGTGCCCGGCCTACAGGTGTGAGTTGTTGATATAGCCCAATTAATTTCCCAGGAACTGTCAAACCCGAACCGTATTCTAGTACAGTATGTATGTTAGGATTAAGATATGTATTTATAAGACACCAGGTCACAATAAACGGGAAAGTGTTCATGTGAGAACCATAAGAAATCAAAGTAAAAATTAAAGATTGGAAACTGTAGGCCTACGTCCGTGAGAGGCGCAGGACCTCCAGCCTCAGTGGCACCTACTCTCTCATCAACACAGGTCAGTTAACTTCATTTGGCTGTATTCAGCCCTAAAAAAGAGACTTATATAGCAGTTATTACAGTTTAAAACTTTGCCTGATGTATAAAGTGAAATAGTAATGTGTTGGGGTGGGTGATAACGGCCCATCAGGCATTATTTCTCAGTGGCGGCTTGTGAAAAATAAAATGGAGGGACTGCAAGCCTCACACAACAGTAGGATACACAAATTTGACCTACCTCAGGTATGAGTTGTAGTTGATGTCCACGAATTCCCAGGGCATGGTAGTAGTGTTGGTGGTAGAAGGGATGGCAAATTTCCAACATAGATTCTAAAAGTTCATTCTGTATTGATTTAGATGTTCCTTTAAAAACTGTAGCGGTCTTTAAATGAGCAGCTAAGCTAGAATCCAGTTCACAAGCAAAATCAACTAATCCACGAAATACTCCCGGATTCTTAGAGCTCATTGTTTCATCATGTCCTCTAAGAGGGAGTTCAAATTTTCCAAAAATTTTACACAGTTTATGATTTTGGATAACACATCTGTTTTTTTTTCACCTGTTCATTGTGTTTTGCAACTGAGAGCTTGTATGCTGTGTCAATCTGAGCTGCAATGTTCACTTTACCCAGCAACGATAAATTAATCATGTTATTCATGTTTGGCTGACTGCTCATGTTTCACTATTTTCTGTGGCAAATGCCTCAAGTCAGTCACACCACTTTTCGTCCATGCCGAGTCCCCACCAAACAATAAGCAGAATAAAGTATTTGCCTCGTCACAACCACAGAGCCATAAACACTCATGTTAAACTGGCGTGTATATTCTTTGTTCCTGCTTGTACTGTTCTGTTCAATGGATAAAACTGGTGTAGGTCTTCCTCTTGCTTTGATTTCAGTCTTTTCATTTAATGTCAGCTGGGAAAAGTTGATGTTTTGCAAATACTTCACTCGATTTGCCATGGTCAAAGGGTAATTAAAGAAAGCACGATTTAACCACACCGTCCACACGTTGTATGAGACTGAGCTGCTTCAAGTGCAGCGGCGGCGCCAATTAATAACAGACATGAATCGTACAGCATTGACAGCAACTATGAAAGTAACTTAAATTTTGGTCTGATTTTAATGAAAATTCACTTAGCAACCTTATTGAAAATAATTAAATAACATATAAAATGATATATTTGTTGGTAGTGTATTATTCAGCTGTCTCTCTAAAGGAATCATACGCCTGGCAGTGAGTGTCTGGGGGGACTGCAGCTCTGCAGCCCTATGCACGAGCCGCCACTGGTGGCACCTATTCTCTCATCAACACAGGTTCCCGGGTTTTTTAACTCACCAGAACGGCGGCCATTACCTCGTGTTGGCCCCACCATGTGAGATTGTGGGGTTATGAGATATTGGTTCACACTCAGGATGGGATGGAGAAAGGAAACTCACAATGTGCTCACTGTATACATATTGTATTGGATGTACAATGCAGCTTGTTGCTGGGTAGGCAGCATGATAACATGCGTTGAGTAGAGAGAGCTGGTTGGTGAGGGTGCCCAGAGTGAGGACACGCAGCTTGAGGGACGTCAAGGTCGCCGGCCGGAGCAGGAGCCGCCAGGCTGGCGCGGAGGAGGAGGTGTTGCTTGCTGGTGGCCGTGGGTAGAAAGAGGCTGGTCACAGCGGTGTCAGGTCTTATAAGGCGGGGGTAGGCGTGGATTGATAGTTGACCCCCGCTCCGTCAGGCAGCGCTGGAGGCGTAGGCTGGGGAATTCGAAAAGGTTCGGCTACTCAGCGACAAACGGCGCTTGTAGGGGAGGAATCCACTACAAGATGACTACTCACAGCTATACTACTCCACTGTGAACCTGTGGATTCCCGGCATACCACCACAAATGAGTAGGAATACATAATGGAAGGCTTGAGAAACTCCGCGGTCGTCACCTGGAGCGACCTAAAATACCAGGCGCAGAAACAGTACTGGCATGTCTCTTGGTTAAGCTCTCGTCTCTACCCACCGAGGGCGGTGTGCAAACGAGGTGCCTGATATGTGTACCTAGAAATTACAAGGAGTCCCATACCTGCAGGTGTGGAGTGTAACAGGTGTGTTGAGATGGTGCTACAGGGAGGTGAGGTGGTGCTACTATGTATGATAACCTAAGGTGCTATATTCCATACAGGTGGAGCAGTCTGATGTGTTGAGTGTTATTGTAAGACGGGATGACCGAGGTAAGGAGGTCAATGATCGTTATGAGGAATGAGTATGTTAATGACATGCAATTAATGTAAGACGTCTGTAAGACAGTGTAACAAAATCATAGTTGTTCTTCTGAGGATGGCCAACTCTTCTGGTATTTTGACGGAATGCAATATGTTTTAAAAGGAATAAATTAGTTAAGGCATGTTATTGTTTCACCCTTCTTCCCCTTGCCGATTTGGTCAATGAAAAACCCAACCCAATGCCTAGTTCACTCTGCCCGCTGCCTAACGAGCTACATACTGCCCAGAGAGGGTCTGGTGGCAGCAACCTATAAAATTAAGAATATAGTGAAGTTATTCCCCTTAGAATTAGTGACCCCAGAATCTGGAGGTATATCATGAACTCTGAAAGTCTCTGATCTAGAAGAACTGAAAATGCAGAGAGACCTGGCAGTTGTAGCATTAGTAAATAAAAAAAAATTGTGACAAGAGGTACCGGTATGGCCAACATAAGGGCAGAACTAGACAATGAGATATAGTTATAAAAATTAAAGGAGACTTTGTAGTGGATACCTCCCCTACAACCGCCGTTTGTCGATGACTAGCCAACCCTCTTCGAATTCCCCAGCCTGTGCCTAGTGGTATACAGTAGGTCGGCAACCAGCGCCGCCTAACAAGGAGGAGGTCAACTATCAACCCACGCCTATCCCGCTATATAAGATCTCACCCCGCCGTGACCTCCCTCTTTCTTCTACCTGCAGCCACCAGCAAGCAACACCTCCTCTGCTCCTACCTGGTGGCTCCCGCTCCCGCCGGCGACTATGGAGCCCCACAAGCTGCGTGTCCTCCTCTGAGCACCCTCACCAACCAGCTCTCTCTACTCAACGCTTGTAACCACACTGCCACTTCCCAGCACCAAGCTGCATTGCACATCCAATACAATATGTATACAGAGAGCACATTGTGAGTTTCCTTTCTCCAACCCATCCTGAGTGAGAACCAATATCTCATAACCCCACAACTTTTTGTACGATCGAAGCAGCAATGTTGCC